GCTCCGTGCAGAAACGGGCTTTAAAATAATAATAAAAAAAAACCCCCGCAAAAGCGGAACCTTTCAATGAATGGAATTTCTCCCGTTCTGCCCTGTGTGAAAAGTGAAAGCACTGTTAAAAGGAGGTTAATCCGAATGGAAATTAGACAAACACTGCTTCTTTTTACTTTCGGGATCTTCCGAAAATAAAAATAAGCAGTTTTTGTCTAATTTCCGTTTGGATTAACCTCCTTTTAACAACAATGTCATCTGAAAAAACACCCGCTTTTGCGGGTTTTGTTTAATTTAAAGCCCCGTTTCCACATGGGATTTCCCCCGTGTGATAAACTCCTATGTCTGCACTATTCCTCTTACTTTCTCAGCTTAGTGGTTTTAGTATCAATGAAGCAGTGAATCCCCCTGACTTTAGTCAATTTTAAAAGTTTTACCCTACCCCAAAAATAGATTTAGCACCTTGGACAGCTTATTTAAAATTTGGACTGAAATTTGGAGCAGATTTACTACCCCACTGACATTAGAACTATGTGGCACCTCTGTTCTGGAGATTCATCCTCTACAACTTGTCAGAGAAACTAGCCAGTTTTAACTGTATGGGGTTTTTCTATCTAGTCTAATATGTGAAATTGTAGAGAAAAGAGTATTTCTGTATAGAAGATGTTTTATTCAGTGCGAATAATAATAATAATAATAATACGTGCATTGTAAAAAACAAAATAAGTTCTGAAAGCTCTCCAAAACCTGGTTTATTTGGTTATTGTAAAATTATTCATTCTTATATGTGAAAATGAAATGTATGGCTATTTACATCCTTATTCCTGAATTTACAACTTATTCACAAACATGGATGACTTAACATTCATTACTTCACTTTTAGCAAACACACTGGCTACTTAGAGTATAAGCTAACACCAGTACTTACTTTGCTAGAGTCACATAGGAATATCTGCTGACCTTTTCCCTTGAATCACATCTCAAGATATGATGGTTATATAAAAGACTTTACAATTAGATCTGGTTAGGTTTGTGTTGCCTTCTTCACTCGCCACTCTTTGCAACCTTTTGTCTTATGAACAGATCTAGGGATCCCAAAATCTTGCAGACATTTCTGTGCTTTTCAATTGGTCTGATAAAAGTACAGTCATCTCTCCCTGTTTGTGAGGGATCCATTCCAGACCTCCCTGTGAACAGGAAAAAACACAGATATTCAAGCCCCATTTCTTTTAAAGGCGGTGTGCTCCTGTGCGCATGCCACAGCCATGTGCACCATTTTGTCCCTCCTGGCTTGCCATCTACAAAGGATCAAATCCATGGATGGCAAATCCGTGAAACAGGAGGGACAAGTGTATTTCTCTAATGTGGATTTTGGCTTTTGCTTCATGGTTAACACAGCAACCCTCCCTTTTTTGTACTCTTCTCATAGTCCCTCTGAATCCTTCCAGCAAGGTTTCTCTTGGCCCATATAAAGAGGGGAAGAGCCTGAAGCTAAGAAGACAGAGCACAGTGGACTGGGAAAATGTGACAGGCACCTCAGTTTGACTAAATTTGGAAGATATCCTAGCAATGTAGAAGCCTGCATCTCAGGATCATAGAGACTCACAAGCTCCAGAACAAAATATTTTAGATTGTTGTTGGTGATGGTGGTGATCATATCATCATTGTTCACAGTCATTATAATCCTAAGAATAAAAAAAGTTTACTTCCCTCTCTCCCTCCTTCCCCTCCTTGACTGCATAGGTAAAAGAAATGATCAAAAAGTATATCAACATAGGGATGCAAAGCATCTAAGGACATATTTCTGTCTTGGTATTATGCATTATTTATATTGCAGCTGCTCCTTAGATGTTTAACAAACATCTTAGAAACTGAGTTGTCCTGAAGTAATGATGGAGCATGAGAGAACAAAGCAACCAACAAATGTGAAGTCATTGGTAGACTGAGAGAAGGATGGGTAGAGGACAGCATAATCAAAAGTCTCTGGTTCTGCCCACTAAGTTCTGGACCTGCTCGTTTCTGGTATGTAGCTGCCAACAGATTACATCTCATGACTGTTGTCATTTACAGACACTTGCTTATAAGAAAATATAAGTTATGGGTATAGAGCTGTTCCCTGGAGGAGAATGGAGCAGATTGAAAGGAGCTCCCAGATTCCCCTCCCTGTTTGTGCAGAGGGGGTTCCCTTTGCCTTCCTGTGTAACTGAGAGGGTGTGACTTGCCCATGGTCACCCATTAAGTTTCCATGATTGAGCAGAGATTTCAACTCTGGTCTCCAGATTCCAACACGCAAACCACTATAGCAGGTGTGATTATAACATTATTATGTGAACCAAAAGGCACATATACATCTGAGGAAGTAGACTTTAGTCTATGAAAGCTCATGCTGCCAACTTATCTATATAACTTTGGATTCTACCAAAAGGCAAAACATACATCAGACTAGCTTTTGAGGCTTTGTCAGCATTTCAGCAAGCATACAGAGAAAGAAAGGTGATGGTGTTGAAATCATGATGTCTCTGCCTTGTCACATTATAAAAGTTAGTCAAGATGGAGTGACAGAGAAGTAGCTTTCTGCTTCCCTCACCACGTGCTCTCAAAACACTTCTGTTCTCTTCTGCTGGATATGGTTGTAAAAGCACACCTTTTGTTACACTGGGAAAAAGTGTTTGGCAAAAGGCATGCTTTTACAACCATCTCCTTCTGGAAGGAGAATGGAAGTGCTTCAGGGGAGAGAGATAAGCAGAAAAACACTTCTCTGCCACTCTGTCTTGGCTAATTTTTGTAATGCAATAAGGCTCTTTGTTTTGAGATGCTACCGAAGAAAGATCTGTAAATGAAAATGTTAGATAACATCACACCATGGCCATGAGCTGACAAAGGCAGTAAAAAGAAAGGCAATACAGTTCTGCTTCTCAATCTGAAGTTACAAAACACCCACTCACCATCCACAAAAAAACTTCTATCCAGCATGAGGCCACAGGTCACTTTGTCAGAAGCATGTAGTGACTGAGTTTCCGAATATCCAGTTAAAGGTTTAGCCAAGGGGAAAGGTGTGTGCCTGAGATCTTGGATATATACTGCTAGGTAGAGATGACAATACTGAGTGAGAAAGACAATCAGTTTCACCTAGTAAATATGGAAAGTTCATGTCCTGAGTTGAGGTCTTCTTCAATAAACACAGAACCAGGTAATATTCCTGAACCATATCATTCTCTCTCCTTTTCAGTCTCTTTCTCTCTTTAATAACACACACATTTACTTCAGTCTGGTTTGTAGCTGTCTGAAAAAGCTCTTGTAAGCTTTGAATATTTTTTGGTACCAGTTGTGACAAGCATTATAGATTCCACATGTTACCACTACAAATCTCTTATGACTGAAATCCAGTAATAAAAGCACAGCAGCCAGTACAAAACAAATGGGAGTTAAGAGCTTTAATTCATTAGGAAAAACATATACATAAATCTGTGTTTCTGTACACGAACTAAAAAACCTTTGCTGTACAGCTGGCAGGTATATTCATTTGATATTCTGTTCAGGATTGATTGTTCTTGTTCTTGTTCATCTTTTCTTTAAAGCAAAGATCCCCCAGCTCATGAATAAAAAATATATCTTATCATACCTCAGATATAGTGGAAAGCAAAATATAAAGTGGTATAGTTTTAGTAATTTGACAGAGACATCCTCATCATCTTCCTAAGTCTCCATGCCTTTTCTTCTAAGGATCATTTATTCTGAAAATTCTTGCCTCCAGGTTTGAGTTATTTTTCACATCCTTAAGAAGGAGTTTTGTTAGTAGAAAATCCTACCTGTGATAACCAAAGCAAATCAGCATTCCACTTAATTTAGATATGTACTATTTTCTTCTGTTCTGTTCATTCAATGCTAATTTGAATGAAAACAGAAGAAAATGGGTCTGTGAAATTGTACCCCCTGGATCATTAGGCAGAAATTATTTCTGCACTGTAGAAATAATGCAGTTTGACATCACTTTAACTGCCATGACTTCACCTTACAGTATCGTGGGATTTGTAGTTTTGTGAGGCATCAGCATTCTTTGCCAGAGATGGCTAAAGATCTTGCAAAAATCTCAGGATTACATAGAATGGAGCTACAGCGCTTAAAGTGGTGTCAAGCTGCATCATTTGTACAGTGTAGATGCACACAGAGTTGGTGAACTTGCTGGTAGATTGCCCCAATATGCCCATGGAATCAGTTTGCTGGCTGGTCTGATGGTCAACCAGTTCCCTATAGAAAGCCCATTAGCAGGTCTTGGAGGCACAATGTCTGATGCTGGAGGAAAAATAGAGTCATCATGACTCATACCCACTGATAGTTTTATTCTCCACGAATTTGGCTAATCTCTTTTAAAAGCCATCCAAGCTGGTAGCCATCACTACATCTTGTGGCAATGAATTCCATAGTTTAACCCTGCACTGTGGGAAAGTTACATCTGATTAAAGTCTTTGAATGGCATGGGATTTTCCCAAACCTAGGGCAATAGTAGGCACCCTTTCTGCTTAGGAGTGAACCTGAATGTTTTCAGGGCTCTTTCATGATACACAGTTCTAGCATTCTGGTTCCACTTTAGCTTCCATGGCTCCATCTGAAGGAACCTTGGGGGATGCAGTTAAGAGAAGATCATTTAAAATTCCCAGCCAGAGAGCTCCAAGCCACAGATCCCAGGATTCCATAGGAATCAGCTATGGCAGATCAAGTGGAATCATCGTGCTATAACTGTGTAGTATGAAAGGCCCCAGGGCTACAGTCTCTTCTGGGAATGTGGGAAACTTGGTGTGTGTGTTAGTTTTGCTTTTTCCCACATTCTAGTTCTTTAAATCTCAAATATTGTTTGTTTGCTTGATTGATTTGTATTCTGCCCCTCAGACAAAGTGTTGAGGATAAGATTTAACAGCAGCTACAGTATAAATAGAAAAAGTTGAACAAGTTAGATAACTGTTTGTTATAAAAAATAATGTGCAATTTAATTAAAGGCAGTTTGAATTGAGGGCAGCATGGTTCAGTGGTTTGAGTGTTGAACTATGATTCTAGGGACCAGGGTTTGATTCCCGCTCAGCCATGAAATCCACTGGGTGACCTTGGGCAAGTTGCATGCTCTCAGCCTCAAGGGAAGGCAATGGCAAACCTCTTCTGAACAAATCTCTCTAAGAAAACCCCATGATTTAGGCTCATCATAAGTTGGACGTGACTTGAAGGCACACAATAACAAGAACAACAACTTAGAAACACATTAATAAAAGAGCACAGCATCCACAATTTAATAGGGCACTTTCCCAGATGCAAATGAATTGCCAAAACACAACCTGAATAAAAAGGTATATACCTATTAGTGGACTAAAAAAGCCATGGATGTTATCATTCCATTTTAGATATGTAGAAAAATTCACATTGTGACAAAGTATCCAAAAATGAACTTAAACACAATTTCCTCTAGAGAACAGGCACAATTATTTCCAGTACTGGCAAAGGTGATGTTGTATCTGCCTGAAATATACGTAGATATTAAACTGGCTTGCCATAATGAAATCTGGAGAGGGCTTCTGCACCTTCAATGGTTGTGTAGAAAGGAGGATTTCAGCAGATGTTGCAAGTCATGCAATCAGGTAACAAGCATCATCAGCTGAAATTCGCTCTTTTATACAACCATTAAAGGTACAGGAGCCCTCTCCAGTTTTCACTCTGGCAACCTTAGGGAGCCACTAAGAAAGAAAGAAAGATGGAAATTAATTCAGCCCCAACTGAACACACAAGGATTCAAAGTAAGATTTTTAACACTTACGTATCAAGAAGACAAATGAGTCTTAGAATCATAGAATCATAGAGTCGGAAGAGAACTCAAGGGTCATCCTGTCCAATCCCCTGCCATGCAGGAACACACAATTAAAGCACCCCAAGAGATGGCAGTCCAGGCTCTGTTTAAAGAACTCCAAAGAAGGAGACTCCACTACACTCTCTGAGGGATTTTATTCCACTGTCTAACAGCTCTTAATATCAGTAAGTTCTTCCTAATGTTTAGGTGAAATCTTTTTCTGTAGTTTACATCCATTGTTCTGGGTCCTAT